CCCAAAGTTATAAATATTTATCCAGAGTTACCCAGCAGTGTGGTGGGAAAGCTGGCCCCAAACTCTGGGTTTCTAACTCTTTTCCCACCTTTTTGTCATTGTTTTTATTTTCCCTGAGGATCTTTCAGGACTCTCTTCATCTAATACTATGCGGATATGTCCACGACACTTCACAGTTGCCACAGTTCCTTCGTATGCACCCCATCAACGAAGTCAACATTGTTCTTCCCACTTGGTAGGTGAGAATCGCAAGGCTCTGAGAGGTTGGGTGACTTACACGAGTTCAGCCAGCTAATAATCAGGAGGAGGATCATTTGCTGCCGTAATACTACCTTCTCCTTCCACCTCCTGATGCCTAATATTTCACCACTGGAACTTCATTCCTTTAGCTTAAAGCACTGGCTGCCATCTTTTAATTCCAAAAGCCTTTGGTAATGATCCTATCTAAGTTGGTGTCAGTCACTGGTACCTTAATATACATGAATTTAGAATCTTTGCTGAAAGCATATTTTGTAATACAGAGATGTTAAAGAAAAGAGAGGCCTGAAGGACCCCCTTCTGCTAAAAGAAACCCTACAATGAGATTTTGTATGTTGCGGGGCGGGGTGGTGGCGGGAAGCTCCATATGATTCCTACTTTGGTCTCAGGCCATTGCTTTCATCCTCTGGTGATTTTTGAAAAATTTCCAGCAGAAGCATCTTATTACCAGATACGTAGAGCAGTAAGAACAGGGGAGAGAGTGACCGAGCCTCTGCACTTCTGGGGAAGGGAACCTCAACCATGTGGCTCAGTGGGTTTCTGGCTTCTGGACAGACAGCATTTTGATATTTAAACTTTAATGTGAGTGACTCAGGAATAGTTTTGCAGACAGTGTCAAATGCCTCCTCTTGCCACGCTGGAGCAAGGAAGCCAGGAAGGACAGGCACCAAGGTTCCGGCCAGGCAGGAGTGCATTCATTACCCTGTGCGAGGGTGCCAGGGGCTGGGGATGTCAGGGAAGGAAGGCGTGCTCCCTGCCCTTGATGAGCTCATAATCTAATGAACCCTATAAGTACTGGGTGTTGCATAGGAGAAGCCCAGGAGGTGGCTGAGACAGGAAGAGCCTGGCAGCCTCAGAGGTCCAGGAGAAGGGAGTCAGAGTCCAGAAGAGCAGAGATAATGCCCCAGGAGCAGGTGACACCCGGGTGAGCTCCAATGTAGGGTGGGGACTATTTATCCTCTATGTCTACACCCGCTGGTGACTGTGTGGGTGGGGGTGGGGGCATGGGGAGTGGTCAGAGGAGGCCTGGTCAGCAATTTTAAGGCTCTTCCAGGAGCCAGTGGGAGAGGCAGAGCCACACCGCTCTCCTTGTTCCTGCCATTGTGCTCATGTCTTACCAGTCCCTAAATCTCTATTCCTGGACTTCCCTTGAAGCCACTTCTCCCACCTAGTAGGTGAAACCAAGATAAGGGCTCCCAAGGAAAGAAGAGCCAACTCTCAGCTCACTGATGGACAATCCCTTTCCCAAGGGAAAGGTGCTCAGGAAAAACTTGGGTAGGAAAGCTCTGGGGAATTAAGACTCAAGTGACAATGCGGGGGACAGAAGATCTCTAGATGGTGTTTATCAAGTCTGAGTACAAAGACCACAGGTCAAAGAGCAGAGAAGAACCTAGCCTGGCCATGCTGGCAAGCTCCAAGGGCAAGCTAGACATTGGAGTGGTGGACTCAGTCAAAAAAAGGCTGGGGAACGGAGATGGGGTAAGGAGGAAGATCAGGGCTGAGAAACCTGGGAGAGCCCAAATGGTCCAGGACAGCAAAAATCCCATCCAAATGCAGAATGGGGAGGTCTGAGGTCACTCTCCTTGTGTCTCAGTAATCAACTGGTCTCCATGTACTGGAAGACAGAATTAACAGGCAAAACAAAACCTTTTGATGTAAGCATGTAGAATGGAGGGAAAGAGGGGTAAACCGCAGGTGAGAGTGATCTTGCTTTAATATGCAAACAAGGTTGATGGAAGGATATTACCAACAGGCAGAGAGGCCAAGCGGAAAAACAGAAGTTTGGGAAAACAGGACCCTGACGGAATGGGCCTCCAAGTTATCTTGGGCTTCTGGGAGCATCTTGGCTGGCCTCACTTGGCACTGGAAAAAATCACTGCTTTTCTTTCAGAGAGTTCCCATATTTTCCTCAGGCCAGCTGCCTTCTCATCTACTACCTGTTCTCTGCAAAAATTGCCAGCAAGTTTCCAAAGCAGCCTGTTTATTTACGGAGTCAAAGCCCCGGAGAAAGTGAGGTGCGAAAGGCTTGACTCGCTCCTCCTGGGAGGAGCTAATGGGGAATGGAGCTGAGCTGTGAAGCCAGTGTCCTGGATGGCTGTCCTGTGGAATTACCCCTGAAACGCCACTCTTTCTGCGGGGACCAACTTTATTAGAGGAACTGGTAATTGAGGGATGGTGTGGGAAGGGGGAGAGAGCAATAAGAGGCAGACATGATTTAACACTTGATGGGCTCTGGAAAAAACCAACAAAACCCAACAAGGAATGGGGCTTGGAGCTTTAGCTTGGCACATTCCTCGTTCCACATACATGTTACCAAAATGAATATATGTAAGTGTACTATGTGTGGGCTAGAGTCTGGGGCACAATAGCACAGACTTAGTGAAACAAAAAGGCATTTCTCCTGCCTCCACTGTGTCTCTTGTGGTGCCATTGTCTGATGCTAAGAACTCCCATAATAACAAAAAACAATGCCCCTATGAAGGGGGGGAAACTTGATTTGGCACCAGCAGTGGTGTTTTCCATGGGAATGGTGGTGGGGGCTGTGGCTGACTGTGGGAATAGTGCAAATCAGCACTTTTTTGTCGATTTTCTTCAAGCCATTGTTTATCTTGGCTTTGGTCAGATCCGTGGCCCAGCTTGAAGATTCCCACTGGGTTTTCTGAAGCTCACAGACCTATGAGAGATGAAAAAGGGATAAATAAATAATTACAAAACACCCTACTCCCCACTCCCCGCCCCCGCCCCGGCACTCATGGGTGAGGTGTGCCTCTCCCGGCCAGTGTGTGTAGACTTATGTGTAGGGCACAGTACTGCATATGTGCACATTTGGTGTGCCCACTGGGGTGAAAACTCAGGTTTTCTTCAGGCTTAGCTGGTTCACTGTCTCACTATCATTTTTCCCTTGGGTCAAGGGAGATCAGGGCTGTTTTATACAAATGCTAGTTTTTGTAAGATGGCATTAGATAAAACTTGTTTGAGACTATACCTCTCTAAAAGTCCTTATATTTACAGGCTTTTAAACATGAGTTACTCAGGTTGTGGTCCCAACAGGAACAAAAAGTCAGTAGTTGTTCTGATAATGGAAGGTGAACTTTTATTTCATAGCTCCTAGGAGCCTTTATTCAATCCTAGCTAAAGGATGCAGAGATCAACCATGCAAAATTTGTCTCAGGACAGAAAATGGACAGACAGTATGTGTAGTATGATTATATTATGGTCCAAAATGTGAATACATTTGGCTTTAAAATGCCAATTACTGATTGCTCCTGTCCTCTCAGCAGCAGGTTATTATATTCCGAAAGTACACAAGACTTTCTTGAAGGTTTGTGAGTGCATGTGTACTCTAAGTTTTACATAATGAATGTTTTGCAAAGAAATGTGCTTTCTCTCCTTTTTAAAAGAGTTTCCATTTCTAATAAGGGTCTTTCCAGACAAATGCGTATGAAGCCGCTTCTGAGCACGAGGGCTGGGTTGCTCAACTGCAGGGGGCAGTATTTAATGTGTCTTCTATGTAAATGGTTCCCCTGAAGGAAAATTCCAGTTGGCCTTGCAAGGTGACAATATTTAGATGGGTTTGTTGCAGAGACGTTTTCCAACAGTGCAGAAGAGCCCTGTTTCCTGCGGCTTGATCCCCTACCCCACCCACCCCTTAGATGCAAACAGGGGACCCAGGTTCTTATCTGGTCTGGATTGAAAGAAAAAAGATCTTACCATGGGTCAGGTAGTGTGCTAAGTGCAGATATGATTTAATCAACACAAGAAACTTATCAGAGTTTCATGGATGGGGAAACAGGCCAAGAGTTGTTAGGGAACTTGACTGAACTCACACAGCCTGTGAGCTTCAGAGCTGAATTTGAAACCTTTCTCTGTGACACTCCCTAATGGCCTTCAGCTCTCCCTCTGACTCCCACTGTACCTCTCCCAGGCCTGGAAAGCATCCCTGTTTCCCCGCAGATCCTGACTAGGTGATAGCAGCAGTAAAAACAACAATGTCAATGGGTAAGAGTCTTCAGAGCCAAAAGGCGGAATTCAGCTGGGGTGGGTGGTGGGGGGGTGTGTGTGTCCCAGACTGCCATTTCTGCTGCTCTGTCAAATAAAAGGGTGCCAGGTGCAGAGGCACCCTAGTGTGAGCTTTGCACAGCTGGACCAAGGCTGGGAAGAGAAGTGTGGAGAGAGATGCTTACATCTCCTCCCCCTTCCTGGAAAATAACTTTGCATTTGAAGGGAGAAAGAAAGAGTGAGTAAATCTGTAACTGGGATTTGGTGGCCTGGGGATTTCATTTGATCCGGTGAAGACACATGCCTGTTCCCGTCTGTGTGCAGGGGTGTGTGAATTGGGGGGAGGAAACTTCAGGTTACATGTGATGGGGTTTTTTGGATTGGGTTTTTATTAAAAAAAAAAAGAAGAAGAAGTCCTAGCAGCTACCATTTAATGAGGACCCACTCACTATGTGCGAGGCATTGTGCTGGACCCTTTACGAGGTCTTATTTTTATGTGAAGAAAAAAATAGCTTACTAGTTTGTTTTTATGCAGGTCCACTTAGAGGCATCGAGTATTTTTTCCATTCGTGTTGAAATACAGCGCTCTACTCTGAGGTAAGATTTGGCGAGAGGCGGGGAAGGTGCGGGGACGGGCAGAGGGCGGTCCCTGCCTCGCTTGTCTCCACCTTTTATTTTGACCGGTCCGATGGCGACAGCCTCGCACTAGGACCCAGCGCCAGAGCGCCTCCGTCTGTCCTGTAGGTTCATTCAATCTCCCATACACACAGACCCACTGCGAGACCGACACACACTCACACACACTCACACACACAACTGAACGCACCGAGGCTCGGGAAGTCAGGTCGTCTCCTAGCCTCGGCGCCTCCTCCGCTCCAGCCAGGCGGGTCTCCTCTGGGGACCGGAGCTCGGCCGGGCAGCGCAGCCCCAAAAGAGGACCAGCTCCGCGGACCCCGGTTCCTCCATGGGCAAACGCGGACGGCCGCGCAAGGAAGCGCGCTGTGAAGGCGCGGGGCTAGCCCCCGCCGCGCCCCCGGCCGTGGCCGCGCCCCAGCCCCCGGCCCAGCCCGAGGAACCCACGGGGGCCAAGCTCAGGTGCCCCTTCTCGGACATTTTCAACACCAGCGAGAACTCGATGGAGAAGCACATCAACACTTTTCTGCAGAACGTGCAGATTCTGCTCGAGGCCGCCAGCTACCTGGAGCAGATCGAGAAAGAAAACAAAAGTAAGTTTAGGGGCCCCGGCTCCTCCTCGGAGCCCGGCTCTTTCTTCCTCAACCACTTGGGCGACCCCTGTCGCCTGCTCGGCCCGCGCCCCCCTCCCCCCAACACACACATCCAGCCCTCGGCAGTAAAGCCGATGACACCGGAGAAAGGACACGCACGCACAAAGCTGCTAAAGATGTAACAAAGGGGGGGGGGGGGGGGGGGGGGCCTGTTGGTGCGTCCGTCTGTCCGTCTCTCGGAGGCTGGGAGGACCGCCGGGAGCAAGCGGGGGAGTGTTGTTTGCTGACAACTGAGCCCAGAGCTCATCTCTTCGAGGTCGCCTTTCTTCCTTCTCCACCCGCCCCCCCCCCCCAAGCCTTCTCGGGCAGACAAGTGTTGTTTTTCTGTCGCTCGTTCCTGGGTGGGGTGGGGATTAGAAGCCGAAAGTTGGAAATCGTAGGCAGAGCTCAGCGGTTCGAGAAAAAACACACACACACTCACGCACACACATACACACAGAGACACACACGACAACAATAACAACAACAACAACCACAACAACCAAACAGCCCTCCGCGGCGTGGGCTTGATCTGGCTGACTCGGTTCTGCTTCTCCCTCCTGTCTACTGTGCTTTTTCCTCCCCTCTCGCGGCAGGGCTCAGGCCATCGCGTCCGCGGATACAGTCCCCCAGCACCTCGGTCGCCCTGGGGTGCCTCCGCCCCCCTCCCCCAAACAGGCCGGCTGGGCCAGGCAGCACCAGCAGCTCGCCCCGGACCCGCCGTCCTGCGCCCGGGAAACTTGGCGAGGGGGACACAGCTAAAAGGAAACTTTGGGATCTCGCAGGAAACAATAGTTGGGGAAGAAGGTGTGGGCTGTTGTGTGCGGTTTCTTTATTTTCCGCGAGACGACTTAGGAGTGAGCGCGCCTGGCGAGGAAGGCAAGCGCCTGCCTTGTCGATTTCTGCCGTCCTCCCGCCCCCACCCCCCACTCCTCTTCGGTTCAGGTGGAGAGCAATGTTTGTGGGGGGGTTGCTGGGAGCCCCACCCGGGCCTGGCCTCCTTTTTGTATTTGTTTCATTTTTGCCCCTGCCTGCTGGGTCCCCCAGTCCTCCCAGGCAGTCGACTCAGCGTCCTAACGGGGGCACGCGTGTGCGGCGTCTCCAGCAGGGTGCTCACAAATAAGAGCTGGGGGAAGGGGTCGAGGCAGATAAACCGATGGACTGGAGAAAACCAGGCTGTTTAATCTGTCCGAACAAGTAGGAAGATCAATGAGACGAGAGAGAAAATGGTCCGATTGCAACGTGTCAGATCTTGCAACCCCCCCCCCAAACACAACAACAACAGTCATCAAACACAAAAACACCTCAGCTGACCAACACCCCAGGCCTCCAGGGTGAAAGTAACCGTGTGTTTGCCAGCGCAATTGTGCAGTGGCTGAAGGCAAAAACAAGGATCTGTGTTGGGAGGACGGTTGTGTGTGTTCTTTTCTTTCTCTTCTCTCCTGTTTCTCGGAGTGCCAGGGTTGCCAGAAAGGCGCATCGCTGGCTGCGTAGCCGACTCAGTTTGCAATTATTCATGGTGGGGGGGCATTCGTCAGGAGGGTAGTTTCTGAAAAGCCAGAGCTGGTGGGGAGCTGGGTGAAGACGTGGTTTTGTTTGGCGTGTTTGCTTTTGTTGGAGGGGGGAGGGGCGCGATTTCTTTAGCTACCCCTCACCCCTGCCCGGGGTTCTCCGGAGTCTGTCCCATGGTGCCGACTCTGGCGGGGGGTGCACCCAAAGAGGGCACCTTGGCAATGTGTGGCAAACCTGGTCCTCCCCCCCACCCTCAGCATGGTGTACTAGGGAGGCTGCTGGAGCTTCCACCGCGTCCCGCCCCCCCCACCGCACCCGCAGACAATCAGAGACCTCCGCCCCCCCTTGCCGCCTCCCCCGCGGCGTCCCCCGCCGCCCTGGCCGCCGCCACCTCCTAGTTTACCCCGTGCCGGGGCTCCGGCGTGGCCACTAGTCACGTAAGCAGAGGGCCGGGCGCGCCGGGCCGGGCTACCCCGCACGGGGCGGGCCAGCGGCAGCCAAGCCGGGCTCCTGTGGCGGAGGAAGCCACGGGGCTTCCTCCCAGTCCCTCTCCCGAGTGTCAGCGCTGCAAGCCCCGCAGCCCCCCGAGAGGGGTTCGGGAACCTCAGCGCCCCAGTCAAAGTCAACTTCGTGTGCGTAATCAGCCCCTCGGCCCCGCTGCCCCCCCCCCCCCCACCGGCCGGCTCCCCGCGGGAGTATTTTTAGCTCTCTTGCTTCTATTTGCCGCCGCTGTTTGGCTCTGCATGACGTGATGCCAACGGCCCCCAGATTTCCCCGAGAGCTTGGGGCGCTACGCCTTGCCCGGCTTGGCTGCGGGGGCCCAGCTCCAGGCCCTCGCCCCCTCCCCAACAGCTCTCGCTGGCGAGGGTGACCTCCAGCAAACTACGGGCGACCATCGCCGGGTCCTCTATTATGCCCCTTGCAAAGAGAAGCGGCCCACGGGGGGCTGCTTTATCCTCCCCACTTTCGGTACCCCCCCAACGCCTTCCGCTGGGTCTGGGTTTCCTGGTATGGAAAACGGCGGGCCCTACATCTGCCTCATTTTATTGGGGGCGCCTCTTCGCGCTGGCGCCGCTCGCCGTTGTTTTCTGCTCGCTGCACACAATGCCCGCGCGTCACGGCGGTCCGCGTGTGCACAGCAATAACGCGAGTTGGGGGGCGGGTCGTGCGTGCGCCGGGCTCGGGCACTGCGGGTCGCTCCGCGCGCGCGGGGCTTGTTTTGCTTCAGAGCCCCGCTTTCCGAAACGCTGACATCATTCAGTCGTTGGGGGAGGGAGGGGGATCTGGGCGTTCCGATAGGACTCCAGCATTTCTCAGGTCCCTGGTTTTTGGAAGGAAGCAGCGATCCTAGTTGTTTAATTATTATCATGATGGGAGGGGGCTCAAGCTTTGTTCGTTGGACAAGTTTTTTTTTTTTTTCTTTTTTTCTTTTTAGGTCACTACTGCAAAGGGCATTGCTGGCCGGCTCAGGTGCACAACCTCCCCGCCTTCATTTCAGCCAGTTCCCCTGTAATCACTTGATCTCAGTTTCTCCGCCTCCTCCTCCTCCCCCTCCCAGCTAGAGACACATGGTTTCCACATGGAGACAAACTTCTTTCCTCTGACTGGACTTGACCTAGCTGCGTTGTTCAGCCTATCGCCAGCTTCAGCTTTCGCTGACGTCACGCGTTGCTGAGGCCAGAGACTGGTGGGTGGAGCCAGGAGGCAAGCCAGGAAATCTCTGGGAGCTGTAGTGTGGCCAGCTGGTACAATCCCTTCTTAAAGGGACTCTCTTCTCCCCTGAGAACGGGTGTCAGCCTTGATTCTCCATTTCGGGTTCTGTGAGACCTTCCCGAAATGCACCAGTAGACCCTGGTCACGAGATGACACGTTTCGTTTTTACTGTTGTTTGCAAAGTACTTACTTGGCAGGAGCTTGCCTTATTTTCCATTGTTGCCAGAACTGCTTTTCATTGCCTCTTTGAGGTTTCCGTAGTAGGAGTGCTCACCAAGCTGTGGCCACAGTGTTGAATTATTCCCAGTAGATATGGTGCGTCTCCTCAGGGGAGGGTATTCAAATTAAGTCACCCACTACTGACTGGCTACTCTGTGCAAGGCAAGGATTCCCAAGGATGTGTGGGTACATTTTCCTGACGTTCCAACTGATGTGACTCCTTAAGGATCTCAGATTAAAGAGCTCCAGAAATATTAATCATGGAGACTAGGACCAGTTATCACAAAACCAGAAGTTTTATGTAAGTCACCTCTGGCATGGTCTTCTGTATCTATTTGGGGTCCAGTGAACCGGGGGGCCTGGTGGCTGCCTAGGACTGACTGATCGTTAGAAAAATATTTACTTCCTGTTTTGGAAAAGATTAAAACTGAAAGGGAAAAAGAACCAGACTCACAGAAAAGCTGCTCAGTGGACAAGCAGAAGCTGCTGTTAACAGGTAACATCCAGAGGATAGTAATGGGCTGCTCAGTGTCTGGGGAAGGTTGCTTTGGGGGGGCAATGCTTAAGACAGAGAAGAATGATTACATGGGAGTAGAGGTCATGGATTACTCTCTGGGGTGGATTATCTGGGTTTGAGGGTGAGGTGCTTTCCTAGGGGCATGGACAGGCCAAGGAGCAGCCTCTTCCTCCTGATGGAGGAAACTGCTGCTTTGTGGTGTCATTTGTCTCCTCCCTGCCTTCCTCTCCTGATCTCCTCTGCTCCTGTCCAGCAGGTCCACCCGCAAGCACATTTCTTGGTCATGACTCTTTGCTTGACTCAGACTCTTCCCTCTTTCAGAATGGCTTCATTCTCTTACTCCTCTAGGGTTATCTGTATCTTACTCATTCTTCAAGACCTAGGTCAGCTCCCACCTCCTCTGAGAGCCTCCTCTGGCTATTTCTTAATTCAGGGTAGTTGAGAGGCTGAGAGCTTTACAGTTAACCCAGAGCAGGGCCCAGACTCCTCCTCCTTGCTGCTTACTGGCTTTGTGACTTCGGGTACACTTAACCAGCCTCTCTGAGGTTCCGTTTCTTTTTTGTAAATCGAGGATAACAATAGAACCAGCCTCACATCATTGCTGAACAACCAAACGAGGCGCTCCATTTAAACATTTAAAGTCCCTGGAATATAGTAAGTGCTCAATAAATAGCCTCTTCTCTGAGCTTTGATAATCAGTAACCATGCAATCTTCTACCCACTACCTGTGTCTTAGCTTTATCTTCCCAGGGAAATGATTAGCATAAGGGAAAGATCACCTATAGCATTTCAGTGTATCCCGCCATTGCATATAGCATTCCACTGGGCATACAGGAGACACTTAATGCGCATTCTTTGGTTGGATTTGTCATTTACTGGCTACGGCACAGTGATCAGGTTTGAAGGCTAGGGGACACAGTAAAGACTTTCTGGGGGCTTGGAGAAGAGTTGGAAATTCTGATCTCTTCCAAGGAAAGAGGTTCTCCTGTAATCAACATAG